TTTTAGCCTCACTTTTCCTTTTACAAAAATACAGAATCAGCACATTAGATCAATTTGAAACAAGGTTACAACTAGATTTATGCTGAATATAGCTCTTTATTTTCATTTTCTGCTTTAAAGTTATATTATTATATTAAAGTATATAAAAAGTATAGTCAGAATTGCAGCTTCAAATCATCTCTGTTAATTGGCACTATGGTGGAACATGAAGAATCAATCCTTTTCAGTACTCTCATTATATAAAAAAAAATCATCCTCCAATAGAGAAATAGCAAATTACATTAAGTTTTATGTAAGACATTTTCAGCTTCTCATACAGTAAGAGCTATACGCAACTTTGATGGTATATACCAAATGGCTTCAAATAAACTCTGACAAGCTTGCACTCATAGAAAGATAAGAAGCAGTCTACATCACCCTAATGCTTGAAAATAAAACAAGAAAGAAGTTGGAGGCTTAATCAAAAACCACAAATTGTTCAATTACCAATAGTAAATTCTGAGACTATTTCTTCTAAGTTAAAAAAACAGTGTTTAGATGTTCCTCCTTGTTCTGTTTAATGTTTATTACAAAATCTTAATTATCAAACTCCAATTATAAACAATGATTCTTTCATCCTTTCCAAGTAGAAATAAAGATGACAGTTTGTTGTTGGTTTTATGTTCTGTTAAGTTGGCTATGACTCAGAGAGACCCTATGAACAGCAGATTTGAACCTTGCCCTATGCTGTGTCAACCAATACCAACACGGTTGAGCTTATTGTTACATTCACCAGTAAAAAAGATTGTTTAGTAGTGATTAAAAATAAACACACAAAACTTCTTGTCTTTGAGACTATTCTGACCTGGAGCAACATTACAGTGTCTCTCGGGCTTCTCTGATGGGTAGTATATATACGTGGTGCTCAGAGGTTTGAATCCACCACATGCTTGGCAGGAGAGATGGGCAATCTCCTACAGTGTGATTTACAGCTTCTGAAAACCCACTACAGGATCAACTATGAGTCTGTTTTAAATTGATGGCAAATAAACAAGAACAATATGTAAATATTGATTGGTAGATTGGCCTCAGTGTCAATAGATGGGGTTGAAATCCTTACTAAAACAGACTGAGACGTCTTTCTCCAGTGGAGTGGCTGGTAGGGTAAAATATTTACCTTTTGTTCAGCAGATCAGTGCTGAAATACTCCTTTCTTCTCTTCAATAGGAGCTAGAGTTCCATAAACATCACTACTAAAACTTAACTGTTTTAACATAGTAATTGCTAACTTACTTTAAGTATTCATTTTTTTAAATTCCAGATTAGGGTATAACTACTGCTACTTGTCTAAAATTGAAATGAACTCATCCTTTAACTATAAAAATGGTCATGCGGTGTTTATGTGTTGGACATGGTGTAAATTACATTCACGTTCATGTCTCAGCATACAAATATCAATTGGCAGGTAGAGTGGCTAGTTTCAGTCAGAAAACTTGTTCATAAAAAGGTTTTGAAAGTCCAGTCCTTCTCTTCCTTTATCCAATGTGCCAACAGAGGAAAATAATCCTACAAATGGGTAAATTACGTATTGTTAGACACATGAAATATATATTCTACAAATAAGACAAGATAATTAATCAGCTTTCTTAGGAAAGTGAGTAATTTTGAAAGTGTGTGCATAGACTGAAAAACAAATTTCTTAAATATAGGTATTTGTGGCACAAAGGAGAAACTTATTTGAAAAAAAATAGATCTTACATTAACACTAATATTATGATCTAAACACTTATGGTTTTTACTATTTCTTAATATTCTAAATTATAAAAAAATGTGTAAAAACATATCAATGCTATCATGATCCAAAGTAATGTTACATAAAATGTGAATCTTAAAGACTCACTGTTGATCATTAGAAAGGTTTTTATTTTTTAATTTTTTTTCCCTTTTGGGGAAAAAATTAGGTAAATACAATTGGCAAAAATATTTCACCTTTTATAGTTAAAAAAGATTAATTCTCTGCATCAAGATTAAAATAACTATTTACTGGAACAGCCAAACTGGTGGTGGTGGTGTTTTTTCTTTTTCCTTTTCTGTACTCTTAGTTAGGTGCTTAGCAATTCAAAGAGCAAAGAATAAAAAAAAAAAATTATAGACAGTTTGGTAACTTGAAAGAATTACATGATTTCCAAAGTTCAAAACCAAAATAAAACCACATTTTAATAGCATGTGAATGATTAAGAAATGGCCCGAGAAAGTATAAAAGGAAATCTGAACCAGGAAAAAAATTTCTATTTTAAGTTCTAGAAAATAGTCACAGACAGAAGGCAACTTTTTCACTAACGACATCAAATTTTGAATAATTAAATAATTAGAAAATAACAATTCTAAAGGAGCCTCTCCTTTCAGTTCATTTTATCCATTGTCTTAAATTACGTCTCTCTCATAGTAAGCACTAAACATTTGTAATGATTATACATATTTATATAAATTAATTTGCAAATTTAATTTCATTCATTCTAATTCTTTTTTAACATACATAATCAAACTATTTTAATGTGCTAATCAGAAGGTTTTGACACAATACACACAATAGAAAAAACAACCAGTCAGATACTATTGCTTCACACAATATCAATGATGTATAATTTTCATATAAAATCAAATACCCAATCTGAGGTATAATCTATTAAACACAGTGTCTACACAGTTTCCATTTCACTTTCACAATACTTAAGTGCTGATGAATTAGTCATTTAGCCAAAGAAGTCATGTTATATAAAACAGACCTTTAGTATAAATAAGGAATGAAACTTGCGGCTAACACTTTGGTTTAAAATGTTAACAGCCTTGAACTATTAACATTACACCTAGCTAGTAATTTGTTAATGAACAATTTAAGAGAAAACTCTATCCTGATGAATAAATATATTGGAAATCAGGACTAGGTTTTATATTTGACAGAGCATGACTATATATTTTAAATAAACTAACATTAAAAGTTTCAGGTCATCAATAATTAAAAGTTGTATTTAAAAAGTTACATATGAAGTCATTGAATGACAGCAGGGTTTCTGAAGAAAACTATTTTGGTACATACCCTTCAACAAAAACTCACTTGAAACTCTCAAATGCCAGTTTAACATCTATTTTTACTATTAGAAGAACAGGTAAAACAAACCCATTTGATAATTGCTTTCTCTTTCTTGCTATCATATTGAAAACTGCAAAGCACTTTTGCTCAAAACACAAGCATTTCCTTGTCAAATGTACATTTTTTATTTAAAGATTGCAGGATTTCAAGAGACTTTCTTGAACTTCCACTGAATTTTCATCTTTAGTGGTGATTAGAACACTTTAGTCTTGCATACAAACTGTTGGATGGGATTGAATTGCTCTAACATGAATACCCTTGAGATACTGAAATAGTGAGTAAACATAAAAGTTAAAAATGTGTTCAAAAGCTCTGATTATTGGTTATAGCAAAATTAGGTAAGCAAGGTTAAATGACTCAAAGCAAATATGTTTATGTAGAATGAGGCTCTAACTCAAAGAGCAGAAGAGAAACTTATTGTAAAGAGAGTCCTTCGTTCAAAGACTAGGAATTTCTAAGGGAACTCATACAATACGTTCATTCAGATTAGTTTTCTCACAAGCAAAGACTTCCTGGCTGTAGAGACTCCAGTTGTTGCTAACTTCTTGTATTCTGTGTATCTTGAGCACAAAGTAGTAGTAACAAGTGGTCGTAATTGTTCAGAAGGACACCAGAGGAAACAGTCCAAAGAGAAGCACTAATATAAAGTACTTAATTCATCCTCATAACTACCATTAATCAAATGATATATTTTTGTATGTAACCATTGCATCTGACTAATTATCTGAAAACCATATTGAAAAGCACCAAATTTCCTTCAGAACCCCTCCAAAATGATCAAGTTGGTTCAGATGTCACTGCTAAATACTAAATTTTGTGTCATAGGTGGGGCAATTTAAAAACAAAACTAATGTCATACTAGAAAATTTACTAATTTCATAAAATATAAAAATCCAAATGATGCCATACAATGTCATTTCTCTAATTTCCTAGATCCTACCTTATTAATAAAGTGACATGCAGCTGTAGTAAGTTTCAAAGCTTTTCAAAAAAGCAGAATGATCTATTCTACATGGAAGTTTACATGTTGAGGACTAAAGTCTTGCTAATATGAGAAGAGAGAGCTTAGAGTTTCATCCCCTAGTGCTTACACTCACTTCTTGGCCTCTCAACCCAGAATACCTGCCTTGCCCTGAAACTCTGCAGCTATCTGAATATCAGAAATCTGTCCTCCTTCCTGGTACTGGATGGCAGCTTTAAGCTTTGCTGTTTCCCATAAAGCTACTGGAAAGCTGAGGTGGCTCAATGCTCAGTGACGCCCCATGATGTCCTTCTGCAATACACATCCACACTTGGAAAAACTTTTCAAAACTGTGAGAAATGCATTACTAATTACCAGCTAAGGACTGAGAATTAAAGTTTCCCTGATGAATCTGAATCAAAAGAAAACTGGTTAACTGAAGAGGTCTCAATTCAGGTCTAAGAGGCAGCAGTTAAACGTTTTCACATGATATGCTTAAAAAAGAAAGAAAAGAAAGTTTAGCCAAAGAACTGACTCTCTTCTCTGCATTGTGCTTAGCCCATCCTACCTCTGTTATTAGTGCAATGTAATAACAGGTTTGTTTGTTGATTTCTATGAACTGCATCCTTGACATTAACTGGTAGTTTTGATACAGGCCGTGAAGTAACCTATTCCAAAACACAGCATTCAGGCATGCCAAATCAGAACACTTTTGATACAGTGTTTCTTTGGCCATTCCTTCCACAGATATTGGAGTCATACACACTGGGCAGCGTTTTGAAGACTAACAGGTCAATATCATTCAGGAAAATAAACTGGCAGCAAGGAAATAAAACAAACAAAAATTACACTTACAAAAGTATTTTAAAAGGAATCCAGTCATCACTGGTGTGCAAGGGTAATTCCTACCTCAGATAGTCTCTGCGACAAAGGATAAGATTAGCTTTAGTGTACAGGGTGGAGCCCACCTCTCCCAAGCGACAGTCACAGCAGGCACACTTCAGGCAGTCTTCATGCCAGTATTTGTCCAGTGCCTTTAGAAGATACCGGTCCTTGATCTTTCGGTTGCAGCCAGCACAACCTTTCGGCTTGGTGTCTGGCTGGACTGAGAGCATTTGTATACCTAAAAGGAGACAAAAGCAGAAAGCGAGCTGGGACAACAAACGAAATAAAAACAGATGTTAAAAGATCTTCAACAAGTTCAATATTTCATATTGCCTTTGCTGAGAGCATCAGCTCTTCATTTTTTTTTTCTTTCAGGGTTTGCTGAATCAAACCAAATTTTGGGAACAAAGAGTCTGAAACTTTACAAAGTCTGTATTAAATCTTTTACAACTGTGGTTAAGTAAAAGCTCGCAAAAATTATAAACTCGTGTCCAAAAAAATAGTGTCATAAATGTGGAGATAAATATTCTTTATAATAATATGGTAGTCCTATTTCCTACATGTATTTCTTATAGGGTGACACTGTGAGTAAATGGCTAACAATTTTGAAAGTAAGCTATTTCATAAACAGATCCACACACAATCTATAGCAGTAAGAAATTAGTTTTTCTTGACTGGTTAAACATTTTACTTAAAATGTGTTTAATTGTGGAAAGAGAATATACCCTAGGTGGGACTGCATAAAGGTTATTAAGAATCAGAATGTTTATCCTTAAGTACACAACAGTCACCTGAAATGCTCACCAATTCTATTTTTCTTGTTGACAGTTAAATACTTCCAGCAGTCCTTAATATTTCACACTATTCATTATGCTAAAACTTTTAAGAATGTATTTATATGCATAAGTATCAATGCCCATATTCATGGCATATTTGCGAAACTATATGCTTTTATATATAGCTAAAGTATGAGATTACATAATTCATTACCATAAATATGCACTTATTTATTTTTATGAGAGAAAGACAAAAAAAGGGCAAAGCCTAAATACAAACACCATACTTAAACATATTCACATTATTATCATACAGGATATTTCTATATTTTTAAATCATATTTTCATCACAAATAAGCAGTAGCTGGATTTCACTCGTATTATAACTTGATGGAAACCTTTCTAGTGAAAGATATTCATGTTTGAATGTCTTATTTCCTAAGTATCAAATATTCTGCTTTTAAAAATGCTGGATTGACTCTTAATAAGATTTCGTAATTTATCAAATAACTAATTTTCAATATAAAATATCAAACCCATTTATTACAAATTCCTTACTTTACGCATTACAATAGAGGCCCACAAGAGGTTAAGGGACTTATTCAAAGTAGAACAAGACTTAGGACCAGGTGGCCTTCCTAGAGTTGAGACCCCTTTGAGATTTTATGCTTCCTGATTTGGGCATAAAGTTTTCAACTTGGAAATAGAAGGACACAAAACACCATATGTGCATGCACTTGAAACAGTTTCAAGAATGGAAACATCAAGCTCTAACCGCCCGCATTTTCTGAGCATTACCCTCTTCCATAATACCTAAACCACCTTCTGTTCTCCCTGATACTGGATGATGAATAATACTTTACCCCCATTACCTTCAACAACCTTTTAAAAATATCATACAGATAAGACATCAAGGGACCACCCCACTACTGAGTAACTTTTCTACTTCCAAATAATACATGAATAAATTGCATCCAAGCTTGTTATGATGCTGAAGGTTCATTAGGAAGTAACTTGTCTTGTGCAGTACTGGAGGAGGAATGGCAGGGAGGCAAGTGGGGTGACTAGTCTTTCTGCAGGGTTTGCATAGACATAGTCACTGAGGCTGTAGACTAGCAGCTGGGTTTGTCCAGAAGAGCAGGTGGTATTCCTGTAGTTTGCTTTCTGTTCCTTTTCTCTGAAGAAACTAGGAGTCTAGTGTAGATTAATCATAACCCTTGATAGCTCTGCTAAGTCTCTCTCTCTAAAACTTCTAACAAATGACGTTTCTTTGATCAGAACTGGTTATCCACTTCTAGCAAGGTTCCACAAGGAATGAATCCCATTAATTACAGGGCAGAACATACCCAAGTGCCTCTTAACTGTATACTTGGGAGTAGGGAGGGGAAATGAGGAACATTTTGATTTCTTAAATGATGTTTTGGATTACATTGATATAAATAACCAGAGATATAGTCAGGTTAGCCATTTTATTTCTCTAGTTTAGAAAGACATTATTTTTCAAATTTCATAGCTCAAAGATGAGAATTTAAAAAAAAATCTTTTGCAGCAGTTAAGCTGCAGTCCCCACAGTTGCATTCCTACCATAAAGCCTAGAAGGTCAACTCTCTTTTCTCCAAATGCTTTGCTCCCAGGACAGCGGACACCAACATTTGGCACAAGTAACACTACCCTGCTTGTCTTCACAAAATGTTTTTGTTGTGTTGACATTTTAATTTAACACTCATAGGCCAATTAATATTTGAAACTCTTACATTCTGTTTGACCGTGGGCATAAAAGGAGTTGGAGATAATACATTCCATCACGGTTACTTAGGTCAAAGCACAATCATATTCCTCTTTGAGGGGAAAAAAAAAATGGAAGCTTTTCAGTGATTCTCAAGTTAACAGTTGTTAAAAAACCCAACCAACTATTTTGCAGTCAGCACACTGCCAGGTACCTAAAAGGCATAAAGCAGTTGGTGGCCTCCTCGTGCCAAACTGAAGAGCACGTTTGGGTAGAGTTGCATGTTTGTAGGTGAAGAAACACTTCACAAGTTGCTCATAGCACATCAGGACTCATAACTAGTTTCAGATTGGCATGTAAATTGTTCTAAGGGAAATTCTTATTGCCTCGGAGACCCTGCCATTCTGAGTTATTTGACAGTTTAAGGGAAATCATAATTAAAAAAAAGACATAAATAATAGCCTGTGCAGTGTGGTGTGCAGAAATAAGTAGAACCATTTCATTTAAACTCTGGTGAGCTTTTAATTGCCTGGATTGCATTGTGAGGCAGCCTAACGGTTGATTGCCTCCATTATGTTCCCTTGTTCTGTGCCATTCATCCGCACAGTCTCAGCTTCAGTAGTTAACACAACAAAGTAACCACAACTCTACAACACACAAGGTTTTAAAATAATGATAATAATGATGATGATGATGATGATGATGATGATGATGAAAGATCTGCAGCACTTAGAAACAGTCTTTTCTGTTTGAGGGCTAACTGCACATAATGAATAGAAAACCTTTTGCCTCCCTTGGAAGATGCATAGAGGACAATTTGGGAGAAGGCACAGGGACAGGGAATACATAAAGGGGGTTGGCAGAGATGAGGTGCCTCAGGAAGATGCTAAAATGGGAATGCAGGTCTTGCAGCTGGGAGCAGTGACACAGATTAAAAGAATTTGGCCAACAGAGCCAATCGATTGCCAAAAGGTACCAAACAAAAGATTTTCTCTCCTCCTGCCCATCTTCATCCTCTCCCCAACCCCCAGCCCCTATTTGAAAACTAGATTGGGCCTAAAAGCTTGTTTCTCTCTGTTCACTGGCCCAGAGCATCCCTACAGGCTGCAGCCCCCTAAGGGACAACAATGCAAATAGATGTCCCCAGATCTCAGGCACTGGAGCTGCTTAACTCTGCTCTGCCCCTTCAACTCCCAACCCCCCCCCCTCCCACCCTTCCACCCCCCCCCCCCTTTTTGAGCAATGGAGCTGGGAACCAATTTGATTCCCTTTTTCTCCAATGCAGCTGCAAGGCTCAGAGATACTGACATTTTTCCACTCTTATCAGTTTAATTACAGTTACCATGGCAGCAAAGTGCTAGTGCTTGGCAAAGGCCAACAAGAGATTTGCAAGACTGAGTTCAATTTTGATGCAGCTCACATGCAAAATAAAAAAAAAAAAATAAGAAACATACATACACTCTAACAAAGAATCCCTTGCGGAGTTTATGCTCCAGGCTTTTGTAGTTGTGTCTTTGCAGCCACACAGGGATGATTTGCAAAGAATATGTGTCAGTATTTGTAGCACCTAGCAAGATTAATTGGTTTAAGCAGCAGTCTTCAAAGCAGTTACAATAATATTTCGGATCTGTTAGAAAGACACAAAAGCGGCGGAAGAGCAAGAAGGCTTTTGAGCAACTAAGAGTGCCGAGCGCAGGCAAAGTGCATCTATGATAGATTGTAACCTTACCAAAACTTTTCTCCTTTTTCTGCATGAGTTGACTTAGACGTGCCTGAGTTGCAGCGGCTTCTCATTGAGCACCAAGCCCAAACGTAGAAGTGGAAAAGGGTCTCCTTGATGTAGCTCAAGTGTGGACCTGGTGCACAGCCTACACTGCCGAGGACCTACTATTGTGTAGCCACTTTGGGAGTGGGTCGGAGCGGCGGCAGGGGGTGGGGGAAGGGATGAGGGACGGCCAGACGAGACACGGCGCGCACGGAGCCCCTCGCAGTGTGGCAGTGTGCAGAATGATGGCGAATGACAAAGCCACATGCTTCCTTAACTCTGCCCGTAATCCTAAAATCCCAGCGGCCCCTTTTAGCTTCGTGGTAACAAATGGATTTGATTAAACTGTCACATGCAGCGTTAGCATAGCATATCATGTTCAATATGAAAAAGATCATAAATCTGACTTGTATTTCATAACAACAGTCTGGGTAGCCCCCGTTATAGTGTGCTGCATCAGTTTGAATCTCAGCCTATTAGGACGTACGCACCCCATTCCACTGAACCTCTCTCCTGTGGTGACTTCTCCCCCTCCAACACCTAAATATAGTCACTCTCCTATCTTCTAGAAATAATTTGTCCTTTTGGTCGTGTGAGGGTTGACAGAAGTGCCAACAAGAACCCAAAGACTGAAATTGAAACTCTTTCAGTAGTGGTGGTGGAGAATCCCAGCAAGGAAGGGGGGAGGGGGGCAGGGTCCGGGAGTTCACCCGGGACTGAATTCCCTTCCTCAAGGCCCAGAGTGAACATTTCTCCAAATTCCCAACTCTCCTGCCTCCCCTCGGCCCGGGAGCCTAGGTCTACAAATGCTGCAGTTCATCGTGAACTTTGACTATTATGCACTCGAGTCCTACTTGAGACGTTCCGCGCCGCAGCCTCTCGCTCTGCCTCCTGCCATCAATATCTTCCGCCTGCATCTATTTCATGTCTCATCATAAAAATAATGAAGCCTCACATGATTTAAACAAAACCGTCTCAGCAGAGCTGCAGCCCGAGCGAAAGTTGTAGTGCGGAGCTGGGATGCAGCTCCAGTTTATGCCTCATTAGGAGAGGCTGGGGGAGAAGGGGGGGAAACAGAGACCCATATCCGCACACGCACGCGCGCACCCGCAGACACACACAGCACAAATAAACCGACGCGTGTGTGCACGGTTGCTGCACTTACCTTCTCAATTAAGCGATACAGGGGGAGGCCGTTCAGTAAGCACAGTGGCTGCTTTGTAGCGCTTCTCCTTGGGAAAGGTCAAAAAGAAGCATTGTTTGAAAAAATAGGGAAAAAAAGGAGGGGGGAGGGAGTCGCTATTTCTTAAGTTTAAAATAATGAGGTCCTCGAGGATCCGCCAAGTAATGGTGTTGACCGCATCTGAGCCACAGGTGTCCTCCTTTTAGGCAACTGCAATCCGAGGCTGGCTCGCTCTCCGTCCAGGCTCCAGACAACTTACCCAGCAGCGCGCGAGGAGCCGAGCTGAAGGAAAGCCCCGGCTCTCAGCTGCAAAATGCAATCCCTTCCCAGCCAGACATAATACAGCCCGAGAAAAGGTCACTCAGTTATTACTGAGCCGGCGGAGTCCAGGCAGCGCTTGTCAAGACCACAGAGAAGCAGCTCCCTTCCGATTTAAGACTATTTACCTCTCACCCCACCCCTCCCCTCTCGTCTCCTTTCCTTCTCGCCCTCCCTCGCTCGCTGGCTCCCTCGCTCGCTCTCGCGTGCCTGCTCTGCAGCTCAGTCAAGTACAAGCCGCCCTCGGAAAGTGCAAAGCAGCCACGAGACAGATCGGGCTTTGTTGCTAATTTCCCAGGGTGAAAATTTACAAGCCTGTGAGTGCAGTCAGCACAACCACATGCATATGCTCCTCACAAACGCTGGGGACGACCCCGCGTACCAAACAAGTGACCTCTGCAGGCGTCGACTCCAGAAGGACCCTACCTCCTGGACCCGTCCAAAAGAACTCCTGGGAAAGAGCCCGGGAGAAAAGGGGGTCAGGTTACCCAAATAATCGAGGCATTTTGGAGTAGGTGGCCACATTTAAAGCAAATTGCCAGCCCCCTCACCCCACCCCACCCCCCAGTCAGTTTTTTTAAGCTACCAATTATGGAAATGGAAATAAATCAAGAGAATAAAACTGCTTCCATAACACGCTGGAAAAGTACCCAGCCCTCCCCTTTGAGATAAGCCATGAGGGTGGAGGGTGACTTGCAATCCCCAGGTCTCTGACTCCCGTTCATGAACTCTGTAAAGTCGCTGCTCCGCAGGTTTGCCACACTCGCCTGATCCAGCCATGATACACTTCCCTTCCTCTCTTTACTCTAATGGTCCTAGAGCCAAACTGTGAACTTGCTTCCCATTAACCATATTGAACTCTCTCTCCCCCCTCACCGAAACACACTCCGGCAATTACTCACATTCCTAACAGTTAAACGTTCATGTTCAGAAATGAAAATCACCCAGAAGCGCATTGTTTCATCACTACCTTGGTAAAAAACCACGGGGTCTCCCAGCCCTGGTTGGGCCACCACTGTTGCCCTGGCTCCATAGGCTTAGAGGCCTTGACAGAGCTATATAAGTCTCTTTACCCCCAACATTTTCTCGTCTCAACTTTACTTTCTATTAAAGCTATCGGTAGCTTTTAAAATCTTACTCTTTTGCTAACTTTTCAAACTTCAAAATTTCCATCTGTTTTTGGCAGCTAAAACAACATCCTCACTAGATTTTCACAAAGACTTGTCAAAGGTCAAGCTTTGGGGGGAAAAAAAAGTCTTAAGTTTGAATGGCCCTGGCTGAAATACATGAAGAGCCAAGAGTCAATAGTTGAACTACAAATGACTTTTTTCTTCTCTGCACCATCAGCTTTACTCGAATTCCAGTGTAAAATACTAAGAAAAAATATCAAAATACCACCCTCCAATGATTAATTAGCCCAAGTTATGGTCCTCTTCATTAAGTTAGATGGCAAAACATTATTAACTTTACATCCCTTCTTTTTAAAGCTTGCTAATAAGAAATATAGTATGTGGTTTGCTTCTTTCTCCCTTTAAAAGGCAACAAAACTCAGAACTAACCTGAAAAATAACGAAATTCACAGACGGCAGATTAGTGAGACCCCTTTCAGCTGATTTGTTCTGTACATAGGCAGGTTTCTTAAGTTTGGTTTTGCTGGCCTGTTTAAGCAGGCACACATGCACCTCACCCATCCACACAGCTCCCTGCTGCTCTACCCCACCTCCCTGCTAGAGCCACTCTGAAAACACCCCAGAGA